GTAAATGGTTGACTGAATAAGAAGAGAGATTGCTGACAGAATTCTTTTGAAACCCAAAGTAGTTGTTGGTGTTTCCTGATCTTTTTTTTTTTCATTCTGTATGTTTTGGGTGGTTGAAGAAGAAGATAGAGGGAAATTGAAGCTGGTGGTCGTTGTGCAGCTCTTTTTTATTTTTCTTTAATGTAATGTTCCATTAGTTAAATTTAGCATTAATGCCAATGCAATTCTTGTAATTTTCTATTTTGCTTATCAATAGATAATATCATCCGAAGGTCAACTTGGCCTTCATCAATTCAAAATTTTACTGTGAATAGTATAAATATGGTGTCTGCTCTTTTTCTTTTCCTGCTGTAAACCATGTTATTCAGTCAATGCGAATGGACCAATATGCCCTTAGAATTCTTATGGAATCAGAATTAGATCCACATGTATAATATTATATTATAGATGGCATTACCTCATTGGTTGTCATTGTGGGACTTCCAGCGGCGGTCAGATTGGAATCAATTGGAAGTAGAATATTATAGGCTTGAGATTGGAGTTTGCTTATCTATGCGGAAGAACAATGATTAAAAGTCTTCAATTTTTAATTTGAAACTACTTTTTGCATCATGAGGGTTTCTTTCAATCCACTTTGCCGACCAGGTTAATCTTGATTTGATTTATTAGGAATTCTTTTCTATTATTATTTCAGGGTAGGATTGATTAACGAGGGTTTCTTCCAATCCACACCATTTAAAAAACATAACCAAAACGTTACGGGTTTGTAAATAACTTATAGTTCAAGTGATTAAAGCATCAAATCAATCACTTGATGTTATGTGCTCTATTCCCCACATCCCCGGTATCGCTTTTATTAAACTGTTGGCAGCTTTCTTGTCGTTTATTTTATGTTTTCTCCTCTCAGCAAATAGACATGGGTGGTGTCTATTTTCTTAGAAAAGCTAAAGATAGAATAACAAGTTAACAGATTGGGCAAAAGCAAAGCAGCACAGGGAGAAGAATATGAGAATATGCTTTGCCTAACATAATATATGCCAATGCCATGTTAATAATTGAGTCGAGAGAGGCCTTTCAAGATCAAGTTTGGATTGTTGAAGTTTCTTCATTCATTCATTCGTTCATATTTCACTCAAAAACATTGGGAAAATATGGTCCCCTTCCACCACAAACATTGTCATTGTTACGTCCACAGTCCATGCCCATACCTATCGATCAATCCCTTTCCTCTAATTCAGAGCGTCTTCATTGAAAACGGGACACCATTGGATAATAATAATATAGCTGAAAGAGGTTTCGGTGGCTACTAATAAATGGGCTGTCTCTCTCGTCATTTCCTATTTAAACCTATGAAACTATCCTTACTATAAATGGCTAATAATAATTTTCATTTTTCTTCGTTCTTTCTTGAAGTTGAAAAATAAAATAAATTCGAGAGAAAAATGTGCCCGGTCTCAATTGCCTCTCGTGCACGGCCGCTTTTGGGGTAGGTCACCATCATGGACGCTAGCTACACGAAAACTGCGCTCGTTTCTTTTTTTTATTATCAATGAATGAATAGATGTTTTTACTCGTATGACTTAGATATCTCAGTATTTATGTGAAAATCAATTTGATTGATATGGTTAGAGAGACTAATTGACCATGATTTTTTACTTTTTTGTTTTGATTTTTCTTACGTTTTAAGGGAAAATGTCACAATAATTTATGTGGCAAATTAAATATTTTTGGTAGAAAAAAATTGAAAATCTAGATCAAGATTATATCTATTATATATACTTTTTAATATGCTACGTCCATATTCTGAGTAAAAAACAATTACTTGAGTTGAGGGGCTTATAGATTTGAGCCTAAGTATAGCTAAGGACCATGGCCTGCCTTGTGCATGATATAGGCTGGGTTGACTTTAATCCAACTTCTTTTTTTCTTGGTCTGGACTTTACTCCCAAGATCTAGTAGCCTAATCCAACCATAACTTATAATATAATAAGAGTTAAGACCTTTTTGACCTTGTGGACAAAATTATCAAGCCCAAGGAAATATATTGACCAATAAAAGCCCAAGAGAATGGGTCAAGTTCAACATATTTGGAGCCAATAGTTTAACAAATACCACAACGACATTTGGACCCTTTCCGTTGGTACTCATTTCTAGGTCATATTTTGTCACAGAAAAGACCTAGCTTTTAATTTACTTGTTGTTTAAGAAAAGAAAAATAAATTTAGGTATAATGTCAACAAGATAACAATGTGATATTATAATTTGACTAAAGAAAAGAATGAGAGGAATTATTGTCGCACGGATTAGAAAAAAGTTTTATCCTCGTGCTTAATTTAAAGCGAAAGCGATATAATACATAGAATCGAAAATTAGGATAAGACAAGGAATTGTAAAAGTTTTTCCACGTTACAATATAAAAGGAATAGCAATTAACAAGTGCTAGAAACCTTTAAATAAATATAAAAAAAAGTAAAAGTAAAAAGAGAAAGAAAAATCAAAACCTAGGGGAGGAAATAAAGAAAGAAATTTTAGACTAGAAAATGATGAGGTCCCAGAATATCACTGAGCTGAGAAAAGACAAAGACTAATGGTGACACCAATGACTCAAAACTTGATTACATTCAATGGATAAATACAAGTAGTGGGGTCTAGATATTGTTTGAATCTGCTTTTGGGAATTGGAGGGAGACAAGAAGAAGGGTGTATGGATATTATTTCCATTTTAAATCAGGATTGATTCTCATAAAAGCAGTCCAAGACAAGTAACTAGACGATAAAATTTAAAGGTGGGGGGAGTTGAAAATGAGGACCATGCAATTCATTTTTGGCCTGCATTGTCCTTCAAAAAACATAGGGGTGGTATGTCAAATTTATTTGGGATATGCATCGAGCACGAATTAATTTAGTATGACTTATTTATTTGATATGCGTGTAATGCGTGTAGAAGTTTTCTATTTTGTGTTTTTGATGAATTATTGTCAAATCGTGATTTTGCAAGAAGGAAGAGTTACTGCCCCCTTATCCTTAAACTGTCATACATGTCTCATTTTTATGATCATCATTTCACGTTTGAGGAAAAAAAGGGGAAATGGAAATGCAACCTAACCCAACCCACCATGACATAATGAGATTGTATAATTTGTATTTTTTGATGCATGCATTTTATTGTTGATTTGATGTTGATGTTAGTCATGCATGTGCTTATTGATATAACACTATAACATTGCTTCTGGTGCACACTGCACATGGGACGAAATTATCTTCAAGATTCTCTTCTCCTTGACCGTATCAACAATTATTTTGTTTCCTAATTTTGAACCATCTCCTCAGCTATAGCCTATAGCTAGCTTTGAAGTTTGAATCTTGAATCAATACATATATATATATATATATATATATATATTTATAAAGAAAAAGAGACCAACAACAGAGAGAAAGCTTAATTGCTAAGTTGAATGATTAAAATATTATTCAACCAAACAAGAAAACTTAATTACCCAACAGAAGACTAAGCTCGATCCATTAAGGTCAAGTAAGTGAATCTCCCATAATAATACTTGTCGGGCAAGTAAATTTGGAATAGATAAGCATATATAGAGATGAAGATATGTTTTGAAAACTCGGGCTAGTAGGGATGTTTCCTGGTAGTTTACTTGGAAAAAGTCACAGTTCACAGTCACGGGGTACCTAAAAGTCATTTTCATTATTTCTTTTTAAAATCTGATGTTCTATAAGCTTCTATCTAGAATAAGTGGTTAGTGGTTTCAGGTTCGAATCTCACGACACGTTAGTAATGTTTGTGTGAGAAATCTCCCTCCCTTTATAGTTTAGATTATTACTTATATTATAAAAAAAAAGTGTTTGAGCTAGATTTTTTTGCCTTCGAAACACATTTATTACTAGGTCATAGGACTAAAATATGAACAATCCAAGATTTGGATGGTCGAATTTTAAAAAAATAGAGTCAAATCTTGAAGATGGAAAAAAAAACCATGGAGTAAATCAACTAGGCAAAATCAAATTAGATTCGGTCAATTTAAACATGTTAGCACATGCCAAGCCGGATCTAGGAGATCTAGGAAAAAAAAAGGTACTTAGTATGATTTGATCACAAAAAATCTGTGAGGATTTCATTAGATGATGTGCATGCTCACGTCGTGTTAAATAAATCTGATTGTGAAAGAAAAAACATATGCAGCTTGCTATATGGTTTGATTATCCAATATTTAACCAACATAATGTAAATTCATTCAAATTCAATTAACTTAAACTCGGCTATTTGGTATATTGACATTTAGCATGTTTAGTTATTAGGAGTGGAGGAAGTCATAAATCATAGAAGTTAAAAGAGATGAATGAAAATGAGATCAACTACTCCATGATCAATTTAATTCATGATTTTTTAGGATATTGGATTATAAATTTTAACGTAAAAATCGCATAAATTTTAAAATACTAATACTTATGTGTTAGTAAATATAGAAAAAAATACCAACAGGAGTTGGTCCAAGTGGAAGGGGCTTGGATCCTTTAAACAAGAGGTCCTGAGTTCGATCCCAGGCGCTTGCGAATAGAGCAGACTTTGTTGGGAGAGGTCCCCGCTTTGCGCCCGACAGTACCTCGAGGG